TGTTATTATCATTATTATCGCTATTATTACTACTTAATTGTTATCATGTTAAAATAGTCAAAAAATAATGTTACTAATTATCCATAGATGTAGATATCCTTATAGGTTAGGAATGTATTTTATAATAAATAAAAAAAAATTAAAAAATTACATACGTACCTACCAATATTGTGAAATTATAGCTCAATAATAACCACAGAATAGATTAAATATTTAATCTATTCTGTGATAATACTTTTATTGATCTAATAATTAAAACTGCATATTAATTTTATTTTCTCTATACCGAATGCTAGGTACATTGTTTTTTTTTTGGTGTTCATTGTTTACATTATTTTTGTTTATTTTTAATAGTTATATCATATAAAATGAATATGGTAATACTATCAACATGATGTTTAAATGTTGACCGGCAATATCATGAACGTAGTAATTTAGCTTATAAGCATAAGTTACACTATTTTACAATGTTAAAATTTGAATAAATTATTAATTACGATATTTGTGTATCAAGATAATATATGTACCTAATACATTTCGCTTGATAAAATATCAATAAGTTAAGTTATAAAAAAAATATATATATACGTAGGTATCCCTACTTGTTGTTTTTTTCTAATATTGTAAAAAATAGGACTACATGTAAGTTAATAATGCGTATAATAATAATAAATGTAATAAACCTAATAGTAATATAGTGTAGATACATTGCACATACACAACATGTATCAACTAAATATATGGCTTATACCAAAATTTTAGTAAATCATTTTGACCTCAAAAATATTCTATGGCTTATAAAATATACCAGACCATGTTCTTATCATAAAAAAAAAAATTTGTAATTGTAATTAGGTTTTATTTTTATTATTGTTCCAACTATAATGTACCTATACCATATGAATATTATTCAATTATGGTACAATACTACGTTTCGTCAACCACAACAACTTCCAGGGCCGCGAACCATCCCAAGGGCCACTCAATTTCCAAAGAGTTGATCCGACCAGGAATATTTACAAAAGACGATACTTACCTCTACGAAAAACATAAGCCACGACGCGTAATAAACTATCCGGATCTATGGAGAAATTTTTGTATATTGATGGGCAACAGCCAACAACACAAGCGGAACAACAAATATAGACTGATATATTACACAATAGTATAAAACGATAAGACAGTCGAGACGAAGACATTTTTGAAATATCAGCATGTAAAACAAAAAAAAAAACAGCAAACAACACGTCATAATCATCGAAAACACCATTCCCACAGTACAAGAGGCTAATTTCTACATAGTCAACAGAAAACTACAAATACAAAATCTTTACATTTGTTAATAATATGTATAATGTAAAAAATATGAGGTCATATTTTTTGTAAAACAGAGGGCTGTTGTATTAAGCGTTTAATACAGGTATACCTAAGTTCAAAGAATGTAGTAATAAGAAATTTTAGTACATAAAAACTAGGTTAATAAAACAATTAAAATTCTATAAACATTAAACATATTACATGTAACTAGGTTAAGACAACAATAATGTAATATAATAACAATTAAATATAATTTAATCATATGGCAATCGATATTATTCGATAGTTATTCGATTTTAAGTTTAAGATATAAGGATCATATATAGAAAAAGATCATACAGAAAAAGGGTCAGTGAGTGGCGGTCGTGTGACTCGATCGCCACTGGATGTCAACGTTTTAATAAAAGTGCTTATTATTGTAATTAAAAGGTTCGTTTATTTGTGTTCGTCTGTGATCTGCGTATACGACATTACCTATTACAAATGTGGGAGCGTACGTGGCAGGGGCGCACCCAGGATTATTTTTTTTGGAGGGGGTGGGGGCTAAATTAAATCATTTTAAAATATTAATAGTATTTAATATTTATTTTAAAATATATACAGGAATCTTATAGCTTGTGTACGATCTTTTACTGAGCAATTTTGTTTTTTGATTATGAACAGTATGGTGATATTTTTTTAGAAATATTACCTTTTAAATTATAAAGTTGAGGCGCCTTGGTCTTTTTTTTCCTAATACTGACAGTTCTTTTTGGACTTCTGTGACCCAACTTTAAAATAATTTAATAATTAACCAGAATGATTACGTTTCATTGTATTGAAATCCACTTATTTGAATCAACAAAAATTAATAAACAATTAACAAAAAAATAAATACATATAAGCTCTCGAAAAACCAACGATGTCGACTTGAACAGTTGTACAACAATACTAGTTAGTAGTTACTAGTTACTACATATAAGTAATACAATTAAAGTTGAATTTGTTAACGCAACGGTACCTGCGGGCTGCGCGGTATGCGATAAACCAAATTATGACGATAACAATGTAATCTAATACGTTTCCGGTATCCTACACAGTTTCGACACAGATATTAACTAGTACAGTACTAGATAGCGAACTCCCACCATAAATTGATGCATCAAGGTCGAGGGGAAATCGTATGGTATTTTATATGGCAAATAAGATTAATTATGATTTATCTTGTATTGTATTTTATTATTTCTAAACCTGTTGTTTTTAAAAAATAAAAAATATTTTATATACTTTTATCATTTTACATATTTTACTATTTTATTTTACCATTAAAAACGATGTTATTCTTAATAGAAACATTTTGTATAATTAATGAAATGTTTTGCCCCCCCCAGAAAACAGCGGCCGTCCACAGATGAGCTTCACTTGATAACAATGTGAATTATATAGGAGTACCTAACTTATTTAGTTAGTATAGATATCTGTGAGTTCGACTAGCGACTTGCCGACGTCGCGACAATAGTAATAATTAATAAAAAACAGAGGTCTTTCCCGGGATTTGGAACGACAGGCATAAATAATATATAATATTATTATGTAACGCCTAATGCTTCAATTTTGATAGTTGATATTTTAGATTCCGAGTGAAACGATGAGTGTATTGATTTTACAATGATGTGTGTTTTTTTTTTTTTTGTGTGTTTATCATCACGTTTTAGGACAGTAAAAGTGCATTTTGTAAACATTTTCAAAATGTTTTGATTTACTTTGAATTGTTTAGGCACATTTTAATTTTCCATTTTTTCTTAATTTTTTTTTCTAAAAATATCAATAAAATTTTATTTGTTGGTTAAAAAAGCTTGAAAATTGTATACAAGGCTCCTACTATATTGTTACAATGGCATTTGAAAAATGTTAAAAATCCTTAGTCACAGTTTTCTTTTATAAGCATTTAAAGTTCAAAAATTCACAAAATATGGAAAAATCACGAAAATTAGCAAATTATTTTGAGTTAAGAATCCGTAAAAATTTTAAAGGTTTTAAACTGTAAAACAAGATTCCTTATGAGATTATCTACCTTTATCAAAAAAAAAAATGTCTATAAGAAAGTCAAATTTTTAGAACATTGGATATTCACTCGATTTCTCATGTAACGATTTCCTTATTTTGTTGTAATTCAAAAACGAATTACGCATTTTCTATACACCATACAATTTTGAAAATATTTTGACTCTTTTTGAGCTGTTTATGGACATTTTGAGTTTCCAATTTTTTTAGTTTTTTATTCTATAAATATCAATAAAGTTTTATCTGTTGGGCCAAAAAGTGTAAAAATTTAATACAAGGCTCCTGATATATTGTTACAATATCAGTTGAAAAATATTAAAAATACATAGGCACAATTTTTTTTTTTATAAGCATTTAAAGATCAAATTTAAAATTGAATAATTATTTTGTAGTTAAAAATTTATAAAATGTTCAACTTTTATATCTAAGGATTGAAAATTTAAAACAAGATTCCACGTAAGTAGTTATATCTGTTACCAAAAAATCTAAAATATACATAAGCACAGTTAATTTTTATAGTCATTTTAAGTTCAATTTTATACAAAATTACATAAAAAAAAACCTAGAATAACTATTTTAGTTATTTTGCTGTGATTGTGTAATATTATTCGTGGGTACTTGAAACTTCTTAAGTACTGCACTATTATATATCTATAGAGTATGGACTGTGATAGTATCAGGTTTTGTCGTTGACGTATAACTCAGTATAAGACATAAGTACCTAATGGATATTGTGATATAATTAATTTGGAATTTATTATAGGTAATTTTTTTTTAATACAATAGATAAGTAAGTATATAATAATATGTCTTATACCTAGACTGGCATACCGTCTCCGCTCAGAATCGTTTTTCTTATACAATGATATTATATCATTGAATTCAAATTTAATACTCTCCATTATACAGTGACCTACTTGTAACCTACTGTACAGCAGAGCACCTTTTTTTTATATAATAATTATTTAAAGTAAATATACAGTCCGTATCATCTATAACGACGGTCAAGGGACCGTAAAATATACGTCGTTATTATAACCAGATGTCGTTACAACCAAATTTGATTTTTTTATTTATACATTATACACTCGTATTCTACTAGTACAAGCATTTTTAAACTACATACCCATATATTAATATAATTTACATACATAAATATTTAATAACACCCAATATAGGCATACATATTATTTTATTATAAATTTATATTAAAAACTAGCTGCCCGATCTTCCTCCGGAAGAAATTATTTTTTTATAATTTAATTTAGAAACATAAGACTATTTTTTGGATATACAAATAGTACAATATAATTACATATTGTAGTTATTGTTATTGCTAATTTCTGAAAATTATATTTCCTACATTTAGAATTCAACCACTGGAGTGGTAAATTTTATTCTTTTTATTATAGAATAGAGATGGTGAGACTTGAGATGGTGCATTAAATCTACCTCTATGTTGACCATGAGGAACCATATTTGCATTTATGACTAATCGGTATTGATCAGTGGGCATATGATCCAATGCAGTTTTGAACTTCGTAATTAAAGGATTGATATTATGTAACAATAATTGCAAATCTCTTATAATATCTAAATGTATAAATATATAAATTAAAACGTTTTAAACAACAAATATATTATACAATACAATTACCTTTATTCAATCCACTGCAAATACCCATTCGCGCATCAATTTGTTCCTCTTCGTCATCCATAAAATAAACTTGTAAATATTTATGATTTGTATTTGGTAAAGGCATCAACGACCCGGCTAAATGATACACTTGACCTCTTATTTTAAATGTAGGCATATAATTTTCGACAATAGTTTCTGCCGCTCCAAATGAGGTCATATGAAATGCATTGTTATATTTATTAATATTTTCTAAAAAGTGTTCTGAAATACTTGTTGAACTTTCCAAAAGAGTTTTCATTGGTTCTGGTGGTTCATCGATATTAGGAATACGAACAGTTCCATTTGAACAACACATACCAGCGGATTCTCATTTAATTAAGAAAATAATATAAAACGTTTTCAAAATTCTAAAAATGTATACACTAATAAACTACCTTTGAATTTCATTGCATTGCAATATTGACAAATTACATCCATTACACCGATACAAACATCATCGTCGTCATAATATGGATGCTTAGGTTGGTATAAATAGGTGGACCGGAATTTTACCCACTTGAACGGTATATCACCTAAAGTATATGCATTTACAATAATAAATAGTAGTGAAACATAGGCGAAGTATAATAAACAGATATATTATTTAATAATGTATATCGTATATGTACCACATACCAAATAATGTGGGTTCAGCATTTGGTCTTAACCTCTTACGCTGTGTAGTAAAAAAACATATTGGTTTCAAACAAAATTCAAAAAAATTAGATCTGTTAGTAATGCTATACAACAAACGACTGAACGATATGAGTTAGAGATGTCGATCTCATCGACCGAATAAATAAGGAAGCGCGCATGCGTATTAAAAACATTATTTATTATTTTTTTTTATTACCTTTGTACATTATTATAGGTCAACGATTATAAAATAAACAAAAAAAAAGAAACAGACATCGTTATCGGTGAATATATGAAAATAATTGGTAATTAGTTAATTATTATTATTATTTTTATGAGGGTTCAAAACTGGTTTCCTTCGTCTCCAAAATCAAGTTAGATTCTTATATATATAGATATGTATTGTTTAAATAAATATGTAATTTTTTCAAACACAATTAATCTAATCAATAAATAACAAAATTGAATATTAGTACACAATTATTTTAAGAAGTCAGTAATTTTTAATTGTTTTGATTTATGATTTAATAGCATATTTTGTATAGTGAGTTTTAATGAATTAAAATTTTAGAATTTTAGATTTGTGGTAATATCTCCCAATTTATATCACAACCTTATCGATGTAGGTAATTAAATTACACCGATAGTATTAGACGATCATTTGTGAAAATAATAATATACAGTCGTTATATACGATTAAACGTGTGTTGCGGCCCGATTTTTAAGTCGTGTTAGCCGATATTGTCCAATGACGTTAAAACCAGTTACAGTCAACTCGCGATATAACGAACTTCAAGGGACCGAGAAAAAAATTCGTTATATCGAAAGTTCGTTACATCGAAATTATATTATACCGCGATATTTTCAAGGGACTGGTAGTTTTATTCGTTATATCAAGATTTTCGTTATATCGCGAGTTGACTGTATTTTGTATGTAAAAATATTTTGCCGGGCCCTTTAAATTAACGTTGGTATACCCCAATATATGTCGTTACGACCGGCGTCGTTATAGATGGTACCGACTGTACTTGATAAAATTATCATAATGTTAGGGGCAAGCCCGTTGCCCCCCCCCTCTTTGGTGCTACGTAGTGACTATATTATATGTTTTGTGTTTAATCATTGCATAAAATAGTACCTATATTTAATTAAGTATTATAACTTTAATAACTTATAAGTTATAACTAATAGCAAAATGTCAAAGAACATAATAACACGTGTATACAAAATGATAAAGTTATTTATATTTACATGGGTTCTTTTCGAAACATGAACAAAATAAACAATTAGGCAATATACTGAAGTAGGTAACTGACGTTTTCGAAGAATTTTCGCTATTTCCAGTGCTGTCAGATGCTTTGTCGTGGACCATGAACCAACCGTTATTTGCTTCGTCCGACAGTCTTTGGACGTTTCCCACGACGCCACTACAGTCCTCTTATACAAACGTGACCGGATCTCGTCAACTCCCATGCCGTCATCGTTACCTGCTGCAGCTGTGACCTGCAGACACAAACGTGTTCGGTCGTCGGACGACGGAAGTTCGATTCGGACACAAGAACGACGACCGTACTCGTCAAAAGGGATAGGTACGGCCCGTCCGGCCGCGGTCATCACCGCGCGATCGTCGCAACCTTCGCCGACCCTCTACAACGACGTAACAGCAGCAAGCTCTTCTCGGCCGTCCGCGGGTAGGATTTCGCCGAAATTTCCGAGGATTTCGATGACGACGCGTCGTAAGCCGTACGCGATTGCAGTCCAACTTTCCAATTTGCAGCAATAATTAAAAATAATAAATTATCCAATAATTATATTTTTAATAACCACGGACGCGTGTGCAGAGTATACGTTACCTAGGTTTTGTTACCGGCAATCACCAACCATTTCGGCAAATACCGGCGGACCCAATCGCCGTCACCGGACTTGCGCGGGTTATAATTGTAACTGCGGTGCCCGATCGGGGGGTAAACGTTGGTGTACATCTTGCCGTTTTGGTCGAACACGATCATGGGGGCTTCTTCTCGTTTGGAAAGCTGGAAGTTGGACTGCAGTCGCATTGCGTACGACGTCGTCATCGAAAGCGACTTCTGCGATTTCTTTTCGCTCGACGGCGATGAAACCCGCAGACGTGTACCCGCGGACGAAGAGCTTGCTTCTGAGACGTCGTTATAGCTGGTCGGTGACGATCGCTCGGTGACGACCACGGCCGGACGCGTACCCCTTTTGTCGGACGACGAGTACGATCGTTGTTCTTGTGTCCCAATCGAACTTTGGTCTTCCGACGACCGAATAGGTTTGTCTCTGCAGGTCATAGCTGCAGCGGGTAACGACGGCATGGCAGTTGACGAGATCCGGTCACGTTTGTATGAGGACTGCATTGGCGTCGTGTGAAACGTCCAAAGGCTGTCGGACGAAACAAATGACGGTTGCTCCGTGGGCCACGACAAGGCATCTGACGACACTGGAAATAGCGAAAATTAAACCGTTTTATTTTAAATCGTATATAACGTAAATTATGACGTTATAGGTACCTATACATCCTATATATACCGTTGATATTTTAAGTTTAAGAGCAACTCAAAAATTGTCAGAGCACAATTTATTTTCCCTCTCTATTCGAACCCAAATTTGACTAAAGTTATTTAATATAATGTAGGTATATATACATACGTCTCGATATAGGAAAACCATCCAACGGGCCTTGTAACACGAAGAAAATAACGCAAACGAATATATCTGCAGGGTTCGACATTATAATAGATTAATTCAGAAATGTTGAATTTCTGTTGTAGTAGATATACAAAATAATTTCCATTACGAGTGTTGCAACGATCATAACAACGAACAATTTATTTTGGTCTCCTAGGCAATTCAGAAATACGCCAGTAGTCAGTACCTATAACCCAACATTTATTGAAGTAAAACTAAAAATTAAATATTATTTTATTTTTAAAAATCACATATAAATTATTAGAAACCAACCCATGGCTAGTCGGTTATAGAGCAACCCTATACAATAAAATTAAGCGATAAATGTATTGATTTTACAAAGTTGTGTGAGTTTTTTTTTTTTTTTTAAGGAATTTCTTGTAAGGAGGTAAATCTATTTGGTAGCTATTTTGAAGAGGGTACAAAAGTAAAATATTCCTATTAGTAAATACTATATACCTAATGAATTATTTAATAAACTATACTTGTCCAAAATTGAATTTTTATAGATTGAAATACTCCGAGTGATTCATTAATATTCTGCTCCGGAATACTTGTATGAAATTAAAAATGCAAGTTGTCATTTAAAAGAGTAAACAACATAAACATTTTTTCCAAAAAAAAATGTTTTGATTTTCTAAACGATTAAAACTTATGTAAAAGAGATATTTTAAAAAACGTTAGTGTTTTCTGATTCGGTCTTTCCGTTCGGTCCTTGTTGACGTCAAAATCGACAAACTCGAATGACAATAATAATGTTTCGGAATTTCTAACTATCAAAAATATGCAATCGTGTTAATATGTTTTCTCAAATATAAAAAGGTAAAAAGAGCGCAATCGTGTTGTGCATTTTACAAGTAAAAATATAAAAAGTGCTCAATCGTGTTGCACTGCTAACTATCCACTGCCTATTATCTAGCACCTATAATCATTTCGAATCAGTCATCATTTAATCGAGAAACAAAGTGCAATAAAAAACTAACCTGGCAACCAATGAAACATAATTTTTTTTTTTGATTTGTTTTAAATTTGTTTATAATTATGATACCTATAACTTTATTTGTAGCACAAAAATATCTACATCATACCTACTCATAAATATATTACACATATTTAGACATTTAGCCACAACAATCAGCCTGTAAGCTCAGCTTGTGTTGGGAGAGTTAAGTCCTAACGTAAATAAAGTGCTTAAATAAAAACGTAAGTACCACGTAGGGCATCATAAAACGGTACAAGCAGGTAGGTAAGTTAAAAAACCTCTCTAATACTCAGATTCTTAAATCTCAATATATATTATATTATCAAAACTTGTACTTAAGTAGGTAGGTACTGTAGGTATTAGGTTACTACCGAAAGAATAATCGAGATAGGAGTTTTGGTGCAAATTACAGTAAAATTCCTATTTCATACTTCCTGAGATGGTGCAAATTACAATCGCATTTCAAAAATGTCGGTGCAAATTACACATTTTTAATGTTATATATATTAATATTTAGGGTTAGTTTTAGTGCAATCAAAGATTGTAAACTTTCCTATCTATAGATACAACTTACAGTATGTTTGTTACAGTTAAAATTACTATGTACAATCGAAAATTACAATTTTACCTACTATAGGCAGTCGGGCAACTCTGGTAAGGCCAAGTCAACAAATATTACAAACATTCAACCTTACATCCAATATTCATAATCCCAACATAAAAATAGATTTTGTTAATAAATAATAACATTATGATTTTTAGGCTCTCAAGGCTCTGTCAAAGGTCAAACAGAAAGCGTTATTTTCAAGTCGCGCAATTTTGTAATTAGTTACAACGCGGCGTTTTTCACGCGCGTGTAAGCAACGCGCCGACGAGCCATTTATAACGCGTTCTGTCTGACCGAGCCTTAAGTGCCTCAAGTGTTCTAGAATCTAGATCTTGTGTAGCGTTGACGCTTGACACTTGACAGTCTGTTGTGTTTGTGTATACTAATACTATTATAGACTAAATTGTGTTACCCAAATACACAAATATACTACACACACGCCGTAAAAGTGCAGCGGTGGCCGTAAGATTCGGGTTGCTACTATAGTATACTATAGTATACTGCCACGATAGTTCACTGCCACGATAGTTCACTGCCACGATAATATAATGCTCCGAACATATTACTCCGAATGTAAAATGCAACGAATACAAGTTATCCGATTATATACAACTACGAAGGTAGATCAAACTCACAGATATAAAATTATATTATTATCATTGATAAACTGTAATATCAATTGATATTACCATAATTGATAATATTAGTGTTATTAATTTATTTATTAATTTATTTTAATGTAAAAGGGATGAACATGAACCCAATAACAAATTAATAGTTATTACATTAGTAAACTTAAATCTATTTAGTTGACTGTAATGGCAGTACCTAATATAAACACAAAAACAAATAAAAGAATTATAAAATAATAATAATAATAATAATAATATCTTAATATAATAAAAAAAAAATATTAAATAATAAATAATATAAATTATAAAATAATATATATACCTAATACAATACTTATATGTATAATGGGTAATATAATCACAAAAACCATAAAAAGCATGAAAATTAAACAAATCAACCTGGACATCATTAACTAATTTCATTAATCTATTTAAAGGCGAGACAAGTGCATAAATTGTCCTTTGAAATTGAATGTAAAACTTTTTTTTTAGATCTAGCCGTTATGCCGTTATGGTTCTGTGATACAACCACTGAACCACAGGTCACAGATGATATGCAAAACATCGAATTTTGGTTGGATGATTATTATAAGAAAGTATTTAACTTGTATATTCCTATATTATAGGTTTTGAAATTGGAATATGTACTAGATTAGTGATTACGTACCTACCTACTTATAGAATATTATGTAAATATTTCACTGATGAAGTGATGAATACATGCTTATATTATAATAATTATAAATTGTGTTGCACTGGTATCATTAATTATAATATATTTATATATATCAGTATACCACAATCTAACGTATATACATGAAATTTTCACTGGTTGTTTATATTTGCATTTTCTATACACGATAACATTTTCAAAATATTTTGATTTATTTTGAACTGTTTAGGGACATTTTCATTTTCCATTTTTTTTTAGTTTTTTTTCTAAAAATATCAATAAAATTTTATTTGTTGGTTGCGAAAGCTTGAAAATTTAATAGAAGGCTCCTAATATATTGTTTCAAAGGCATATGAAAAATATTAAAAATCCTTAGTCACAATTTTTTTTATAAGCATTAAAGTTCAAAAATTGACAAAATATGGAAAAATCACGAAAATTAGCAAATTATTTTGAGTTAAGAATTCGTAAAAATTTTTCTTTTTAAATCTAAGATTTGAAAATTAAACACAAGATTCCTTATAAGATTATCTACCTTTATCAAAAGAAAAATGTCTATAAGAAAGTCAAATTAAATTTTTATGAGCGTTTGAAATTCAAATTTTTACAACATTGAATATTCACTCGATTTCCCATGTAGCGATTTCCTTATTTTGTTGTAATTCAAAAACAAATAACTGTAGATACATGAAAATTTCACTGAATGTTTATATTAGCATTTCCTATACACCATACAATTTTGAAAATATTTTGAATCATTTTGAGCTGTTTATGGACATTTACAGATTTCAATTTTTTTTAGTTTTTTTTTCTATAAATATCAATAAAGTTTTATCTGTTGGGCCAAAAAGTGTAAAAATTTAATACAAGGCTCCTGATATATTGTTACAATAGCAATTGAAAAATATTAAAAATACAAAGGCACAATTTTTTTTTACAAGCATTTAAAGATCGCATTTTGACAAAATTTATCAAAATCTCGAAAATTATCAATCATTGAAATTAATAAATTATAAAATGTTCAGTTTTTATAGCTAAGGATTGCAAATTTAAAACAAAGGTTCTCATAAATATTTCATACTGTAACCAAAAAATCTAAAAAATATATGAACACAGTTATTTTTTACAGATATTTTAAATTCAAATTTGGACGAAATTACATATTAAAAAACCTAGAATA